TAAGATCCCCTTACCGGTCGTCTTCTTAAAAAAAAAAAAACAGTTAATAGATATTAAAATCAAAGCTTGAATAAAGCTTTAGTCTCATCTATCATCTTTATAAAGAACAATGAAGTTTTGGGGCAGAAAAGCTACATATCATCAGTCTCAGAATATCTTGCCATTGTCAGGGAATGGCCTTTCCAGTGATTTATGATGAAACCAATCAATTGCTTCAGTCATGAGAAAGTTTTACTCAACCCTGTACAGTTCCACATTATGGTTTTGTAGTTTTGACTCTTGTTCTAGTCATTACGACAATTGGTATTTCTTTTTGTAGCTGTTTGTTTTATTTTAAATTTATTTTTTGGCCTCTCATTCAAAGCTGAGACAAACACAGTGTGGTATGACTGGATGAGGCCCTCTCATGCACAGCTTCACTCTGAGTACATGCAGCATCTCACTGAGGCCAAAACCAGGAGCAAGAACAAGGTGCGGAGTGTCCGGCAGTTGGTACAGCGCCTCCGGCTGATCAAATCTCCTGCAGAAATTGAACGAATGCAGATTGCTGGGAAACTGACATCACAGGTATGGTTCCTGTTAAATTTTTAACAAATTAAAAAGCTATAAGTTCTTAGGGTTCAGTAGGCACCTTGAGTTCATATACCCAATATAGTAATCTCACAGGCAGATAGGAACATCTAGCTTCTACTTCAGTATGTTTAGTAAACATATCTAGAGATCTGCTTCATACCTTGCAAGACAAAGTAAATCTATCTTCTTTTAACATTTATCTTTTACCTATCAATCTTAGTTGTTTCTCCTCGGAACAACAGAAATTAATTAATTCTATTTTCTTTCCTTATGATAACTACACTAATAGTGGCAGTTAAACAAACTGCTAAATTGCTAAAGAAGACACATAGTTAAATTGCTGAAGAAGACACATAGTACCCAAAATGACAATGCTTACAGTTTTATTAAAGGAAAAGGGTACAAAGTAACAACAGCATTAAAGTAAGGATATGTATCACAACCAACAGCTTTCTCCCCAGCAAGGGGTCCAGAGAAGCTAGGTGTAGGCTCCTATTGTTCTCACCTAGGTAAGTGCCAGGCAGGATGCATTTTCTCTCACAGGAACCACCAATGCTGTCAGTGTTCTTGGACTGCCATAACAAAATGCCACAGACTGCATGCCTCAAACAACAGAAATTTATTTTCTCGTACTTTGCAGACGAAGTCTGTGATCAGGCTGCCAGTATGGTCAGTTTCTGGTGAAGGCTTTCTTCCTGGCTTAGAGACAGCCGCTTTCTTGCTGTGTCCTTACATGCAGGGAGGGAGGACCTTATAAGGCCACAGCCTTATCAGATTAGGGCCCCATCCTATGACCTCATTTAACCTTAATTACCTCCTGAAGACCCTATCTTCAGATACAGTTACGTGGTGTTTAGTACTTCAACATACGAATTTGAGGGAGACACAATTCAGACCATAGCACATGCACAGAATACCCGAAGGTGGAATCTCAGCTAGGGATTTTTTTTTTTCTTTTTTTTGGTCATATAGTCATATTCTTGCTATGTGACAATAAAGCCCTACAGAGGTCTCGCAGACACTGAGTATACACCGTAAATCTCACTATTATCAGTACAGACAAACTGATACAAACTTCCCTTAATCTCCTTAATTTAAAAAAAAAAAAATTTATTGTGGTGAAATATGCAAAACAAAATACACCATTTTAACCATTTTTAAATGTACAGTTCAATGACATGTAGTACATTCACACTGTTGTGTAACCATCACCACCATATCTCTCCAGAACTTTATCATCCCATTTCTCATTAAACAGTAACTCCCCATTCTCTCCTCCACCCAGCCCCTGGGTACCATGGTTCTACTTTCTGTCTCTATAAACTTGAGTACTCTAGGTATTTTGTATAAGTGGAATCATACAATATTTGTCCTTTTGTATCTGGCTTATTTCACTTAACATGATGTCTGAAAGGTTTATCCATTTCATAGCATGTATCAGAATTTTGTTCCTTTTTAAGGCTGAATAATATTCCATTGCATGTGTATTAGTTTTTGTGGCTTATAACAAAATACCTGGAACCGGCTGATTTATAAAGAAAACAAAATTTATTGCTTACAGTTCCAGAGGCTAGCAAGACCAAAGGCCAGGGAACACATCTGGTGAAGCTTTCTTTGATGGTGGTTTCAGTGACGGCAGAGTATCACATTGTGAAAATGACAGAGCAGAGAGAGCTTAACCTCATTCACTCTCCTTTTAAAGCCCTACAAACCACACCCATGACTACCATTTTTAATCCACCACTACTGCATGGTCCCACAATCCAATCACCTCTTCAAGGCCCCACCTTTCAGTTACCATAATAGAATTTCCCACCCTCTAAACAGTCACAGTGGGGGCCAAGTTTCTAATACATAAAACTTTGGGGACACAGTTGAAGCTTCAATGAGTTTGGGGGGAACATTCAGTCCACTACAGCATCTTTATGCGTTCATCCATTATTGGACATTTGGGTTGACAACAATTATAGTCAGCCCTCAGGGCATTGTAGTATCCACAGGGCATTGGTTCCAGGGCCTCTCATGAATACCAGAATCATTGATGTTCAAGTCCCTTATGTAAAACGTCATAGTATTTGCATATAATCTACAAACGTCTTCCCATATACTTTAAATAATCTCTAGATTACATATAATATCTAATACAGTGTAATTCAAGTCCCTTATGTAAAACGTCATAGTATTTGCATATAATCTATAAACGTCTTCCCATATACTTTAAATAATCTCTAGATTACATATAATATCTAATACAGTGTAAATACTATAAATACTATGTAAATAGTTGTTATACTATATTGTGTTATATTTATAAATATATTGTTATATACTACAATATACTATATCATTTTATATTTAATATAATATTATTATTTTTGATCGTTTTGTTTTGGGGGAGGGGAACCCATGACCTTGGTATTATAAAGCTGTGCTATATAACCAGCTGAGCTAACTGGTCAGCCCTATTGTTTCTTTTTCCTGAATATTCTCGATCTGTGGTTGGTTGAATCCATGGATGCAGAACCCATGGATATGGAGGGCTGACTGCACTTGCTTTATAGTATCATATAATCAGATAGATAATCAAAATGTACACACAGAATCCAAACATTTAAAATAACCATTGAGAGAACAGAACTGAGGCCAACAGAGATGGGAAAAGGGGAGGTGGAAGAGGGGTCAATGAGAAATTGGTAAAGGGCCACAAAAAATTATTACAATGTGTAAGGTTGAATATTCTAATTATCCTAGTTTGAGTATCACATATTGCACACAGGGTATTGATATTCAATACTGTACCCCACAGATATGTACAATCAATTATGTTTCAGTAAAAAAGTAAATAAAATAACCAGTGGAGGATTGGTATTGATTTAAAAAGACAACCTAACCGTCCAGTTATACTTGCTCATGTTTTTGTACTAACTGTACAATTTTTTTGCCTCCCTTTTGCACTTTGTGGTATATACTGGCTGAGTTACTAAGAACCATAATTATCTATCTTTAATTAAATCTAAATATTCATCAAGTTGGTTCTCCTCCATAGCGATAACATCCTGAGAGGGCTTTAATTCAGTCTCTCAGTATATTTGATCATTATCATCAATATCATCCTAAAATTTATGAACTTCTAAAGTATTAATTTTATGTATGACTCCCATATTATATCATATAGCAGTACCATTGCAGGCATGATATAAGTCAGACAAAATCATGGTATAATTATTTTGTCCCTCCTAAAACAATCTACCTTTTTTCATATACTATATATTATTTCTCATAGGAGTGTAGATCAGAGGCCATATCTCCGGTATTTCAGGATTCAAAACATCTTGAAAACAGCCAGATTCCTTCTCTCAGTTTACGTGGTTCTCAGTGAGAAGAGTCCTGCAAAGAGTCCTCATTTATCTACCACAGGAAACACTCTAACATGTTTAAAACTTGTCCAGTACCCACAAACTGCACTACAGGAAAAGAATGGTTAGCACCAGTTGCAGAGTTGAAGCTCTTAAAGAACACCTCAATAGGTTGCATCCCTTAAGTTAAAATTTCCATGCACTGGAAGGTTCATCAGTCTCCCATACATGTGTACTGTGGGTTTGTACAGTGAGAATCCCTGGTCATTGTGCTTGGGATACCTTGGACTCCATTTGAATTAATATAGCTTATATAATGCAGCCGTGTTAGCATTCAAGCTTATTCCCATTGTTGGTTTGGTTTGGACTTGTTGTCTTAGTATATGCTCTGTACTGTCATTTCAACAGCTTGCCATTTTTGTCCTTACTCCTGGAATAGGACGCCTTCAGTGCACCAACGAATGCAGTCTCTAATTCAGCCCCATTGACTAACTTGTTCTTAACTTCTTCCATAAGGATTTTACCTTCTGCTGGACTCTGAACATCTGTTTTCTATGTAGAATTGCCTTCAATTCTGAACTACTACCTCTGAAGTGCAAGTGCCTGGCATTCTTGGACAGTTGATTAAAAGGAGAAATCCTAGTTTAGGGGAAGGCTACTTGGTCATGAATCAGATGAATCTCTCATGGATCCCCTAGTAGCATGCTTCATATAGTCCATTTCTATTTTATGATGGAACTTCTTTGGACATTGTTCTTCTTCTTGGAATGCATTTCTTTTTGCCTGTTTGTTTTCATACTTCTGATTTCTTTTTTTGGAATGCATTTCTGATATCACCTATAATATGATATGCATTCGAGGTCTTAATGTAATCTTATAAGTCTTTTAGTTATAGAAGTTGTCTCAGTAAATGCTCAATAACAAGTCAGTTACTGTCTTTCAAAAGATATACAGTGGAAAGCAGAATCCAATAATGTCTTAGCCCAAAAGCACAGAGGTTATCATAGAACAGCAATTATAGCTTTTACTGGACACTCCAGTTGGCATGAGTGTGGGTGGCTGACACTTCTAATATCACTTCAGAATTAGAATCATATGGTCCTAATGTAATAGCTTGGGCCACAGCGTTTGCAGTTCTAAGAAGTCTTGGTGTTCAGGCCCCTAATCATGTAAGGTCTTTTTCATGAAATTGAATTGGGGCCAAAAATATCTTTACGTGAGGTAGTATATGATTTCTCTAAAAGCCAAATGGCCCCCTAAGTGTTGAGCTTCTTGTTCAGTCTCAGAGGCAGGGAGTGACAACAATTTATTCCAAGCAGTATGTGGTAAGTCGCAGATTGCTTCAACACCTGTAATTCCCCCAAATTGTATGTATGATCTTTGTATGGCCCTGGATATTTAGCAAGGTTAATCAATCATTCCCAATTATTCATATGATTTATGACCTTAGTAAAGTCACTTTTAGCTTAATCCACAGATTCAGATGATGATTATAATGCTGCCATCAATATATTGGATTTCTAGTTTTTAAAACTGTACCTGGGATTTGTTTTAATCAGGTATAAGAAGACAAGCAGACACAAAAATAACTTATAAAGGAAAGTTTTTATACTCACAGACCCCTAGAAACAGGAGCCT